CAATGAGTGTGTTTGTGTGTGTGTGTTTGTGTGAGTGTGTATACTTTGCGCTCTATGAACATGAAAATACCTCCGACCGCAACCCCTTTTCCCCCACCCCTACCCCCTCATCCCTTTGAATGTCCTGTTGACAACAATCATACTTTCGACTTCGGCTTCAAGATGTCCGAAAGAGAGAAAAGCTTTGAGCGTCTGTAGCCGCGAGCCAGTTTGTGTGAGGCAGGTCGAAATCTTTACATGGTGTAAGGATTATTGATTAAACCAGGGAGAACATGAAAAACTAAGGAAAGGAAAGGGCACTTTATCCCGGCATTTGGTCCCTTCTGTCCTTGCTCAAAAAACATTTTCCTAAGATTACCTACAGACAAAATAAGGATCTAACTCGATTCCCAGCTATTTACTTAAAAATTAGAGTTTGAAAATCAGTGAAACAGGTGTCACTTTCAGGGTACTAAAAATACTTTTGTACAGACATAATGAAGTCATGTTTGGTGTTTGCTAAAAACAGAATGGTCCCCTAGGCTAAAACACGGTCAGACTCTTGGTGTTATTTTAACATATCTTTGACTCGCAATGCTATTTTAGAAATGCCTCCTCATTATTAAGGTGAAGGCGGTAATGCCACAATACCTGGTTACTTTAAAAAGAAAAAACGAAAGTAAAAAATGACCCATTTATCGTACAATAATTTGGTCATATTATGAGCAATTTCAATAATACTTCGAACAAAAAATTATGATGAAAAATACCGATTAATGTATTAGAAAAAAAGTCAGTTTTTTTACAATTTCAGTCAAAGTCGAATGAAACACAGAATTAGCCATTTTTCTTTCTAATTACCCTTTTTTAAATTTCAAATAGTCACTATCTGTGCATTGAAGATAAAATTTATACAAAACTGATATTGCAAAATAAACCCAGGGAAGGTTGTCGCTATTCCAGTGTTATTGTTAGCTCAGGAGAGAGCGCTCTCTCTCTCTCCCTCTCTCCCTCTCTCTATCTCACACACACACACACACACACACACACACATACACACACACACTCTCTCTCTCTCTCTCTG